GACTGTGTTCGTCAGACCTCTAACCATTGACCAACCTGGTATGAGAGACTCTGCGAATGTCGCGGGACACTCTCCAGTATAGCTCAATGGATCGCTGAGGTGCACAAACCGTCACACCACGGTAAGGTCCAGTCTCTTCGTGACGCGATTAAATGATTGACTGGCCTGGATGCTTGGCGGCTTTCCTGTTGAGATTTTGGTGGAGCAGTGTGTTCCGGTCGTTCGGAGGTTACTTTCAGGAATCTGTCCTTCCTGATAGTGCTGTTGTAAGGGGAAGTTTAGAGAGACCTATGGCTGCCAGGTACCGGCATGGCTTCCGTCGTCACTGGATCCAGGTAGCATTTTATGGGAGGCCTGGTTGTCAACTGAGAATCTACTACGCTCGGGTGACACTGTCTTTAGGGACCCCTTGGCTCGTGCACAGCAGAAATCCCTGCATGAGTGCATCATCGCTTTACAGGAGGAGGGGATTATGTATGCGGCGAGGACACATACTTTGTTGTTCAACTTCATCTTTGGTACCGCAGTGTGACAAACACTGTTGAGTCTTCGCGTTCAATTTGGTAACTGAAACCTTACGCCGATACTGTGTTTTCCATTTCCAATGCAAAAATGTCTACTTTGTTATCCGCTTTTCAGCATCGGCACCAGGGAACTTCCGAAGTGTGGTTCTTTTAAGCCGTCCTTCAACGCAACGTCCTTTGTGCAATCAGTCATAATGATTGGTGGATGTGTTCTGCTTTTGGGACTCCAATTGTTCACCACATGCATGGTACGCCAGGAATTCTCACTCTTCACCGTTTTAGGCGGCCTACGAAGATGCACGATGCCAGTGTATTTGTGTGGACCGACTTGGATCTTATAACGGGACAAAACCAACTCGGAAAATATACGTAGCCGCCGTACCTGCAGACAAATGGTAAGCGGACTACCTCACTACCCTCTCTCCCTCTTAGCGTGTGCACCATTATGCTTGGAAAGGACGCTGATTTGTGCCCTTATTGTGACTGTAAGTATCAAGTTCGAAGCACAACCACTATCAAGGTAGGTTGCATTCTGTGTCCAGTGTTTTCCTCCTGTTGTTTTTTTTATTCGCGCTTGCTAACGTGTTGGGGTGTTGGCGTTGTCCGCCAATTTGGCTTACCTTGAAAGCAATATGCATCGGCGTCCTGTGTGTTCTAATGCACAACAGCAGGTAAAGGGGTAGGCTACCATACGTTGAGCGTATATTAGCAGGTGATCTTTGGGAATTAGGGAAACCAGCTGAGTAGATGTAAAGTAAGCATTAAGCGTAGCGACTGGAAAGGTTTTCCGAAGTGTGTGACGTAGATACTAAGTCACATGATCTGCGGCTTTATCGTTTGGCCGATACATGTGGTGTAAGAAATTCTAACATCGCTTTTCGAGTACTTTACCGAACGCTCCTCCATCTACCGACATCAATCTCTGAACACAGCTGAAATCATTACCACTCTCTCACGCAACCGGAGCCGGTGCTCTTTGAGACCTCCATGGCCTGCCCACTTGACCACTGACCACTCAGATCATCGATCGTGACGTGGGCGGTTCTCCCGCTTACAGATTCCACTCTACCTTTCATTGTACTTGTTTGTATTGCTAACTTGTGTTTGTATAAACCACTTATCTGAATGGACCAGGGGATATTACAGTTAGTGGTCGTCATCTTATGTTCCGAACAGCCTGCGGTCTAATGTGGGATTGAAAATAGCTATTCGTAAATGTTTGTATTCCTTGTGTGTTATCAGCTACTTGGCACCAAAGCAGTTAGCCAACTTTTTTTACTGGCATCACTCAGATGTTTTGAATTTCTTGAGGTGTTGCCCTGTGTTGCTTCCCTTTTCTTTACTAATCTGATAGCTGATCGATGGCCAACCTTTAAACCTTTCTTGGGTAGTCCACAAACATAGAATACATGTTTTCATACCGAGGAGAGTAACGTACCGTCCAGAACGACAACCTTAACTCCGGTGTCTAATTTCCTTTTTTCATCTTACCGGATTCAGGTTTTCGTCGAACATTGTTTAGACGGCCTACTTGCTCTGCGAGGCCGTATTTCTGTAGTTTTTCGTGGTTGTGTCTTGTCAATTCCTTGTTATGAACTGTCAGTCGTCGCTGATAGTATTACCTACCTGAAAAAATGGGATAGTAGTCTAGTCTGTGGCTTCGCTACATTCCAACTTATGCCCCAGGGCTTCATTCGACGTGTGAAGGAGGCTTAGATCAGTTTGGTCTATTAGAGCATCTTCCAGGGACACGTTGGTCCCAGGTGCTACAGTTCCGGTCATCGGAAAATGGGAGAGCGTGAGATCAATAGCGAGGCACTGGAGGGGATGACACGGTCAGTTACTTCAGGAAACCAGGTGGCTACATACTAGAGGTTATAGCAATGATGCGCGAGCGCCACCGACTGCTTGGTTGAGTCATATCAGCCAGCGTCATTAACCATTGATGAGTTCCCTTCCGAGGTCTCAGCGAAGCAGCAGTTGTTTGCTGGTTAGCGCTTCCATATTTCATTGCCAGGTCAAAAAACTGTCCATCTCTCGGTTACTTCATCTAGCACAGTGCTGGAGGAAGAGAACTCTGTGACGTAGACAGTCCCCCGAAATGCGAATCACACGTCCTAACCAGCGTAATCCATGAAGCATGAGTAACTGGTCAGCCGCCGGAAAGTCCTCTCCGCCTAAAACCACCTAGCGTATTCCAGTGTTAATAATCCAATGTTCTCACCAGACCCGTCCAATGCTTTTGTGACACTGATGTCTCGTTCTTGATACCCATCCACCTTGCAGGTCAACATTCATGCTCTAACCTGACATAGAATACAAATGACCATCAACCCCTGATGTAGACCTTCATTTGGGCTACATTCGCGTTGTATTCTGTGAAGTTCACCGAAATAACTGCATTGCTACATTTCCCAACCTATTGTGTTGGATCGTTACTCCCCTTGAGCTGAATGATTGGCGCGTGGTATCCCACATTGTTATCGCCACCACCCTGATTCGTCACCTTTTGTTGCTCCAACTGTCCTCACTCATCTACAGTGAGTCTCAGGGATGAAAATTAGTCCACTTCGTCTGTCTGTGACTGTTTATTCCTATTCAACGTTCTGAGCGAGGACACCGGACTATGATTGTATGCGTATCCTCATTTGACCGGTTATTCTACTTCCTGAATGGCATACCTTACTCTAAAACCGCTGCTCAACCACATCCATTTTCACTATGCACCCCCTCCATATCTTCTCTTCCCGTCGTCACAGGTTGTGGTCTGTTTGATTCTTGTCATCATTTCCGCGCTCACCCTCTACATGCTGTTCCTGCTGCTTCTCGAACCTTTGCTCTCCGCGCGTCGAGCCGGACGCAAACTGATGACTTCACAGGCTGACTCATCATCCTGCTTGGGCAGTTCTTCCGAATCCGCCCCAGCCGGAGCGGCGCCGGCGAGGGCAGTCTACGGTCGACAATCGTTCATGGCAAATGCGGAGATGCCATGGATTCGTACGGTCACAAGTGCGGGCGGTGGTGGTCACGTTCCGGCACCAAAGGGCTTGGGCATTGCAGTTTCCTGGAATCGGGCTGAGACAGGCACTGGGGAGTTGTTAAACATGGAGCAATCCACCTTAGGTAATTTCGCCAACCCCACTCTGTATTATTCGTTATCCGACAGCTCTTCGACAGCCCACAACCAGTTTCACTCTTTCTGCTGCACATCAAGATGGCGTAGTCCCCAAGTTTCAATCTATTTGTGTTTAATTCCCAAGACAAGTTTCCGACCTGACGGTACTCATGTTCATCCTCGTGTCATTGACAACACCATAGAATATCCAGAGTGTCAAAAACCTAGTTCGTTGGAGGATATCCAAAAGGCAAGGATACTCAACGACAAAGAGCAAATACAGTTGCCCCTCTCTGAAGAGCTCGTTTGAAAGGATCGCTCAAAAGTTGCCTCTCCATAGATTCGTAGAACACACGTTAACGAACAAGTGTTTACGCGTAATTCTATTCTAAGACAGAATGACCTACTGTTGTTAATTTGTCGAAATATAGGTAGCTCGGGTGTGTGTACTGGTGGCTGATCGGATGGCAGTTGATCTGTTCGCCGAACTTGGCAATTGGCTTGCAAACGTTTCGTCTCCAGTCGAGGAGACATCGTCAGTGCACAGTTGAATGGCACCAGTGCGCACCCATTCAACTGCGCACTGACGATGTCTCCTCGACTGGGGACAAAACGTTTGCAAGCCAATTGCCAGGCTCGGCGAACAGATCAACTGCCATCCGATCAGCCACCAATGACTGATTGTCACCAGGCTACCGAGGCTGATTTCTCGTACTCGATCGCTTCACCCGGATCAACTGGGAAATTTAGACGAGAACCTAGCGTTGATTGTCTTGACCTAGTCCTCACTACAGCAACTCAGTCAATCCAGAACTTAACCTGTGGACCGTCCAGTGGACAGATTTCCGTAATACTTTAGATTCGTATTTTTTAGTTTACAGTGCATGGGGAGATTTGTCCAGAACGTTCATCTCCGAATTGTTTCCTTCTGTGAGAGCCGCTGTCGCTGAGAGAAATCTCGTGCGACAGATTGAAGACCGTCTTTTTGAGAGAAACATGTCGAAATTTGACCAACCACTGTCTCTTACAGAGCACTGGGAAAGATCGAAAATTCGGCTGCTCTTTCTGTTAGATCTTCAGTATGGACCCCCTGTCAGGAACCTGTCGTGGCTGAAAAAGTCTTGTGGAACCGCATCCCACATATTCGGGTCCTCTTGGTGATTGTGTATGAATGAAAGGCGATCTGTGAAGTTCAAGTTGACATAGGTTAGGCGTGCATTGGCGGATGTCATATCATCTGTGTTCCCGGATCTCAAAACCACAGAAACACATTTTCGGGCAAAACCTGTGAAGAATCTTTTGGTAGTGATTTTCGCTAAACCAGCTAGCCTAGTTACTAGTCTGAAAGGAAAAAAGTGTCGGTGCAGCATTCACTAGCGGTAATTCACTCTTTTGCGTTCCGCAAAACGCGGTGCACAATTGGACGTCTTTCACAGACAAGTAAAATACACTAACCCAGACACTCACAAGACCCGAAGTCCCAAAGTCAAAGACCAATGCAGTTTTCAAATAGTTGTCTTGAGACGACTCATAAGTCAGACCGACAAACGCATCCAGAATTTTCGGGGTTTTGCGGGATAGGTATTTTGTTCATAGTCAGACCACTCTCGTTTGAACGGTCGTGTTCCCGTTCTGGCGTAATTTTTCCGGTGAGCCCACACCAAAGGGGGGAAGCACTGGACTCGAGTTTCGCTCTTATCAGCGCTCATCAATCCAATGGCCGTGTCGAGATTTGAACCCCGGAATTCTGACATGCGAAGCGAGCGTGTTACCACTACTCCACCAACGCACGTTGGACGCGTCTGAACAGGCGAACGTGTTCACACTTGAACGATGTGATTCGTGTGCCCGACTCATCGAACGGTGACCCAGTAGCTGTCCTGGTTGTGACGACTGATTGATCCGTCAGTCAGGACTTCCCAGTCAGGTAGCGTGACACACTTGATACCCACTCGGCAACTTTTGGATCGCATTTTTAGGGTTTTTGTGGGATAGGTCTTTTGTTCATAGTCACACCACTCTCGTTTGAATCGTCTGTCGTATGCCTAACAATCGGTTGGAACTAGTCAAACAGCCCACTCGCAGCACAGCTGAGTCAATCGGAGCCTGCCTTGGGAACCCACTTCCTAGAAACACTTAACTAGGTCAGCATGACTAAACCAGTCCACGATCGATCTGCCTAGAAGAGCCGTTTCGGTCATGGAACCTGACTGCTACTCGGCCTGTTATCATTCTGGAAACTGTCTATACGTCCTGCTTCATTTCCGCTCGTTATTTTGCCTTCTTTAGCATGTGTTTGGACAAACGTTTTTCACTCGCGACAGCTAAACTAATTCATTCTCTTCTTCAACTCCTCAAACGTGCGGTCTTATCAGGACTCTCCGAAATTCCTCGATAAGATTCCATCTCAACCTTTGAGTCGACCAGTCCTCTTTCTATAAAGCATATCCTCTTCCCTCCGAATTCACGTTCCTGGGTAAATTGTGAACTTTTGGTGGCAATTTCATGGCTTGAACCCTGAATATGCTCTCTGAACACTAGTATACTATCGTTGATTAATGATCGTAAGGTAAACCCACATGGTGTACAGTATTTGCTGGAATTCGTGAGCTAGACTGCCAACACCGATATTTACACACCGTGCGGTAATTTATGCAAGCACATCCTCTTTACTATGCACTGGTGTCTTTTTTGTTGAGAGGGAGACTTCGTCCTGCAAGTGAAGCCCATGTATGCTGAAAAGCCGAGAAGCGCTGTACAGTTGTTCCGTTTTTATTGGGAATAATCAGCAGTACGCATCTCACGAAACTCCAGGGAATCTCGAACCCGCAATCATCCAGCTGGTAGTTTAAGTCATTGACCGTTCCACTTTGAGCGGTGGATCAGTGGTGTGGTTTACTCGCGTTTAAACAGGATATAGCGTTCCTCAATCACGGAATTCACGTCACGCGGTCACGTGTTGCCTGGCTCCTCGAGGGACGACTCCTCGTATGGAGGTTTCATTCATAGGTGAATTTCGGGTTACTTACACATATGCTACCGCCCCTTGATGGAAGGATGAGTGGTGATATGTCCTGTCTATGTGCGAGTTAGTCACACTGCTGATCAGCCACTCGTAGCTAAACGGCTAAATGTTCAAACGCTGGCCGGATGGTTGTGGGTTCGAGACACTCTCGGTCTCGTGAGATGCGCATCGCGGATGATTCCCAATAGGGATGAAACAGCTGCGCAGTTCATGACTGTCTTCACCCATTGGACCAAGTCGTCATTAAAAATTCCCAAATGTTTTCATAAAGGAAACTACCCACAAGGTTGCTGAAAACTCGTCGACAGCCCACGACCGGTTTCGCCCTTTTTGAGGCTCATCGGGTAGGCGCAGTCCCCGAGTTTCCGTCCAACTTATGTTCTACTTGAACCCAAATTGGACTGTTTCCGGATTATTTTTCAAATGAGTGTATATTCGCTGATTTCGTGCAATTTGGATCCAAGTAGAACATAAGGTTGACGGAAACTCGGGAAGGGCGAACCCGATCGTAGGCCATCGAAGAGTTTTCAGCAACCCCGTGAGTAGTTTCCTTGGTGGAAATCACCAAGGACTTTTGGAAATTTCACCAACTGTCATGGAGTGACACACAATTCCACTCCAACACCTGGTGACTTCACGTCCCACCTCTTTGTCTAAACTGAGTACCGGCAAACGTACCCGGATTCTGTTTGATGCTATGGCGTGTAACAATAACAGTTCCAAGAAAAATCTGCTGACAACCGGTGCCGCAAATTCGTCAAGGTATTGCTTCATCCAACCACGATTTTATGAGGTAGATCGTATGTCTGCATGCAGTATCGCATTTAAAAATCGTCGTCATCATCATCATCATCAACGACAGCATGACATCAGTGTTCAACACCAATGCTTCACTGCCGTACAACCATGACTTGTTTGAAAGCCTTATTGTAAAGAAA